TTAGTGGCTTGGTAATGGCGAATTCGTAAGGATCTATTGATTGCATTATGAAAATTTTCATTTATTTGTTAAAAATACAATATACAATACAATTACAATTACAAAATTACAAATACAATTCATATAAGGTGGTGTTAACGGAAAATGAATAAATAAATTACATGTACATATATCAGAAAATTAATAACAAGAAATGAAATTATTGTTTGATTTCTAACCAAACCTATGTTGTAACTCAATCGCCTAATGGTTTGCCGAACCGTAAACATATGTTTACACATCCATTTTCGTGAGTAGGTACCTGGTACTTGTCACGTACACGTACCTGCATATCCGCCTTTTTTTCTGCCATCAATGTGGTTACCCATGCTAGCTCAGCATATGTTATTGGCGCGGTTCTCAACCCTTGGCCACATTGAGGCGAGGCGGATGTTCCAATCGTCATCTGCACATATCGTCTCACAGGAAGCCCACCCATCCTTGGACCGCTCTTTCCGGTTGTTCACTTCCGGCGGTTCCCCTTTTTGGTATTACTCCAATCACTTCATTCAATTTCTACCCTTCGTCATCTTCCCCTCCCTCCTATATCAATTTAGCCAGTCATTTAGGGCTCCTTTTATCAGTTTCAAATTATAACACAATATTTATTACATAACATTTCAAAAACTACACAGTTTATAATATACGCAAATACTTACATACTACACGAATCTCGACTGGTATTTCCTATCGCACAAAAAAAAACCAAACGTGAAAGCGCAACTATGGCGCTGCAGCATCCACAGGAAACCCTAACAGCCTACCTAAAAGAGCTCTCTTAAGCAGATATATATTTATGGTTTTCCGGGAGCCGGATCTTCTCAGCTCCAAAAAAAAATTCTTTAAAATTGGTATCGTTGGTTTGGCGTTTTCCTGGTTTGACGGGACACCGACAAAAATTACACCCGAATTAAAAGTGAATAATTTGCAAACAGAAAATGTGTTAAAAAGAATATTAATATCTTAAAGCTATTGCCTTGACTCCGCCCCTGGATTTCCTCGAGCTCATTTCCCTGCTGCAGTTTATGGTCAAAAGCTTCACACAATGTTAATTAACATAGTGGTTGTGGCACATGCTGACCGACTCAACGGGTGACACCAATAAAATTTCCTGACGCTATGGCGATATGGGGCATTCCCTCTCAACACATTCGTAAAAGATACAAAATTTCGCATATCTTAAGAATCGACCACTCACCAGCGAGTTGTGCCGCACCCTTCTGCATCCACGTACGGACGTACAAATTTAAACTCCTGGCACACTAGGGCAAATCACAACAAAAAAACAATAAATACCTAACTTGATCTTCTAAGCGTTTCTTACTTACATCTCGCCGGGGGACTTCCTGCCTGTTCCACTGCCTCTAGCCCGTGGGTGCTCTACTCCTACAACCACTCCGTGGCCTTCCAAGTCCGGCCAAGTAGCCTTTCTTCCACTTTAGGAGGGTCCTTAACTTCCGGAATTGAGTCCTCTTGTGTTAGCGCGTATATTTTCGTAACTTTCTGGCGCACTTACACTTAGTTTCCTCTCCTTACTTAGGATTTTTAGAAACTACAAAAAAACAGGACACTCCGCGGTATTTTTTTTCTTGTACGCCGCACCTTTCTACATTTTCCCGCACTGGATGTCGATTTCAATAACACGAGGCAGTTCTAACTTCTGGCCTACCGCTAACCCCTTTATATAGGCAGTTTTCAACAGCATCCAAAACACCGTTTTTACCGCATAGCCTTCATTGTTTTCTTTAGCCAATCACAATTGCGCTCACCCTACTTCTATCCCTTTCCCGGCGAGATACTTTATTCACCATACCTCGACTCACGCTCTGGCAACCCCCTTCATTAAAAGCTTTTATAATTTCCCATTGGGTAATTTTTCTTATTCATTCTGTTTTGTGTGACATTTACACACAAAACCACGAAGCCTAGGATTAATTGGTAAATATTAGGCATAGCACATAGAACACGTTAAGTTGCCTTTCTTTTTACAAAAAAAAAAACATTTGTTTATTGCCCCTAAAAAAAGGAAGGACGGCATTATCTCCATCATCCAGAGCGGTCCAAAGGTGCTTCCTGAATGTTGAACGCCCAACGTGGGGAACACCCACCCTGACATACTCACACCTTTTTTAAGAAGTTTCACTTCTATCATGTGTACGCTGTTACACACGCATTTTTTTAATAGGGTTGCCACCTGTTAAAAAATTAAAAGATATTCACTGTTCGTTGGATTACGAAATGAGATACGAAATGAAAGGGTGTGGGCTTCGTATGTACAACAGCTTTTATTGTTCTGAGTGGGGTTTCTAGCTATTTAAAAGTTGCTATTTTATAGAAACATCATAAACCAACGTCGGGAAACGAAAAAAAGCTTCTAAAAAACCATCGCCGTTCGGAATCGGCGTAAATATGTAGGTCCCTACCCTTTGTGTGACAACATCAATGCGCATGCCATAAATCGGAGAAGCTTGGCCCAAACACTAACATACTTATGTATAAGTAATCTATTATTATTATTATTATTATTATTAATCTCGATAATTACTACACAGATTTGGACGAGATTTTGGTAAATATAATCTGTGTCGCTAGGGTATTATCTTAAGTACATAGAATTTCTATATAGAGGCCACCTCTCTAAAAAATTATAAGATCTTTTCCATGAACGAAAGACACAAGAAAGACAAAGAAAGAGTGAAAAAAGTCGATTTTTTTAGCGGGTTCTACGCCATCTTGTATAACTGGAAAACGAGCGAAAAGTAAACAAAGCAAAGAAAACAACGAAAACCAAAATTATTGTCAGCCACTTTAAACGCACAATTTAGGTAAAATGATGCAACAAAATGCTTTAAAATGTGTTGTCATGTTGAATTAACTCTTCTTTACTTGAATAAAAGTGTAAAATAGTGGTGCTTGTGATGTAAACAAACGCTCAGCTGACGAACCCGCTTTCGCAAACTTTTTTCTCAAAACCAGTTACAAATACAACGTCGCGTTCTTACGTGATCTTGTAATTTTGGTTCATGGATATGTTCGTTGAATACAAAACGTGAGATGCGAAATGAAAACGCTTGGCCTCTAGATGTTCAATAATTTACTATTTTAGGGTTGCCACCTTGAAAAATAATATGATTGGTAACTGGACTAAAAAATTAGGTCCCAAGTGAAAGGATATGGTTTCCGGATGTGCAATAAGCTGTTTTTTTAGTGGGATTGGCACCTAATTAAAAATTACTAGCTTACATATGATACGTGAAGGCGTTTTTTTTAATAACATCACATTTGTTTAGTTTATTTAAATTAAAAAATATGGTTTTCGGATGTGCAATAGGGTTTTATTTTTTCGAAAATGGTTGCCGCCTATACGAAAAATTATCAGTAGCTCGTGTCTGTAACAATTCTCTACCAAGGCGAATTGAGAGATGAATTCGCCGCCCTGTTCTCTACTGCTAATAGGTTCATTCCAAGGCGAATTTATACAAGGTGGTGTTGATGGCGAATTTATATTTTCGCCGAGGTACGTCTTAATGTCAAAATGATGTGTTTGTTGTAAAATGAATTCGCCTTGTTTACAACAAACACGTCATTTTGACGTTCAGTAGTACCGCGGCGAAAATTTAATTCGCCATCAACACCACCTTGTATAAATTCGCCTTGGATCATTCCTTATCTTTTTGGACTAAAATCTGTAAAGTGTCAAAATGCCAGAGCGTAAGCAAAATGCGCTCACTAAAAGAGAATAACAGGAAAAGTAAAGGAACGCAAAAAATCAAATTTTTAGTCCAAAGAATGGCAACAACAAAGCTAACGTCAAATAAGAATGGAAATTTATGTACAAAACACATTCGCACAAGCACAAGCACAATAACCACTTAGGGCCGGTTGCTCAAAGCTTGGTTGACACTAATCCCCGGTTAAACATCGTTATCGACGTTACCGACACCAGGCTTTGAGCAACCGGCCCTTACTATATCAATTATTTTTTGCCTCCTTCCAATTTCAATACACTTTTTTACTTTTTAGAGTATTCTCACTTTTTGCGTATTCTTTAATTTCCGTTAATTTAAATTCAGTTGAGTTTGACACTTTTCAGGATTTTGCCAGAAAAAATTCTTCTGACAGGCTAACCTAATATTCACGCACGCCGACAATTTACTGTCAAATATTTTTCATGCACATACAACTTGTATGTGACCAACCGAAATTGAACGGCGTGCGTATGAAACTAACTCAATTTCCAATTTTTGTTCTGCGTGACATTTTGATTTGACGTTTCGCTCAATGAAATCAAATACAAACGCACGCAAGCCAATTTCGGGTGACGCAAAAAAACAAATTCGAAGGCGTGCGTACCAAAACGCAAGCCGCGAATATTAGGTTAGCCTCTGACTAAATCTGACCAGTGATGAAATTGATGGTACAATTGTACTTTTTTGGTACATTTTGGAAGCCAAAAGTACATTGGTACTACATTGACATTTTTGATACATTTTTGAAGATACGGTACTGCACTACAATTATGTCGAAAAAATCATAGCGAGTAAAATTAAGGGGGAAGACTAAAATATCAGAAAAAGTTATTGAACGCAGTAAAACTTACGCCATTCTGACTTTCTGATAGGTAAGTTTTTTTCTAACAAATATTTTTGATACCACATCATGAGACGTTCAAAAATAAAAGAATCTGTTCCAAGCATCCTTCCTTGTTTCACAAAAATTAAATAGATATAGCTACAAATGTGTCTTTAAAATTATCCCATTTTCGGTTTAACGATCAACAGACAAATTCGGTCAGAACCTTTCAGCATTATTATCTATTTTGGTATATTTCTCAATATTTTGCGTAAATTCCGGCCAAAAAATAGTTTCATCCACAGTTGAATAATTTTATACGGCAGCCATAGTTGACGCACGAAAATTAGAAAATTAGAGATTAATAGAAAATTAACTAAACTAAACTTTTCTTCCTTTCTTTTGTTTATTCACGAACACATGTTGTGGTCAGCAGACATTTCCTTATAAGTTTTCGCAGGTAAAATTTTTTCCAGCGGAAATTGGCAGATCTCAGTGTCATTTTGCGCTCTCGATTTCCCCCACTTGAAAGATTTTAGGTACGAGAACACTGCTATTAACTTGTTAATTTCTATAAAAGGAATTATTTTCCAAAATATTTTTATAAAACTTCCATTCCGTTAAATGCAAAGGTTTCATTTTTAATTTTTGTACTACTAGCTGTTAATAAGTATAACTTGTAGGCTTTTCTTGATTACCTTGGCGTTTTGGTGGCCTTTTCAAACAAGTGATTTGTGCTTATGTGATTTTTATCATGATTTTTATACAGAAAATCTAAAAACGTATGTATATGGTATTTTAAATGTTGGTACTTTTTCAACTTATTTAGTACACTTTTTTTGGCCATTTGGTACAAAATTAAAAAACTCATTTATCATCCCTGAATCTGACTACTTCGGACTGATGAGTCACTCTCACTGAGTGTTGCTCTCTCATTTTTGCTGTCATTTCCGAGTTAAGGAACGCTTTTTGGACTAAATCTGACTACTTCGGACTTTTTCTGACTATTTCTGGGAGATAAGGAACGCTCCTAATGAGTAGTAGAGAATGATTAGTTTAATATGACTGCATCACTAACTAAATTTTTATTAATTTATCGAAAAAATTTTAGTCAATATCTCGGAAACTAAAGGAGATATCTACACCAATCGAAAGACCTTATTTCAAAATATATAACTGCATCTATAACTAAAAATCGTCAAAATTGCGCTTACGACAATCTTTTAGCCAGGCGACGGTATATTCTCTACCAATAGAGTAATAATCGGTAGAGAAAAGTTATAGAAAGGAGCTACAGATGTGGGCTACGTGTGATGTACAAAAACTAATAGAACACGTTAGTAATAACAAAGAACGTAGATAACAAAAAGGGACAACTCGTTATAATTGTAGCGAAAGTGCGCAACAGGGCCATGTCTTCTCTTTTGCCCTAGTGCGTTTTCTGATTGGATGAAAAGAGAAGGCACGCCCCTGTTGCGCACTTTCGCCACAATTATAACGAGTTGCCCCTTCTTGTTATCTACGTTCTTTGTTAATAATACTATTTTCTACGATTTGGACACGACGAGTGCAGAAATACCCAAAAAGGGAAAATTGAGTGAAGTGTACATCGGAATTCGACGCGAAAAAAAGCGCACCAGTGCGCGCACGTTTGCGGATTCGAAGTTAACAAGCGAATTCGTAACGTATTCGCAGCGATTCTGACGTTGAGAATACGTTGCGAATTCGGCTGTCAACTTCGAATTTGTAAGCGTGTGCACACTTTTCGTGTATTTTTGCAAATTTTGCAAATCGTGCAAATGTGCGCTGGCTCATTTAAGTATATGGGTAGCATCCATGAACGAAAGACACAAGATCACGCGGGAAGGAAAGAACGAAAAAAGTTATTTTCTAGCTGCCGAAATCTCGACGCCATCTTTGTTGTAAGAAGTAAACAACGAAGAGAACGGAAAAAACCGCGAAATTGTTGAACGCATGAATAATCATTTTTATTATGGAAATTCTTCTATAAATCATGCCGTTGTGTTAAATTATTCTTTACGTTATTTGTACACATGTTGTCAAAGAAGAAAATTGCTGTAAAAAGCCCCCACCAAATTGTAAACAATGAAGAAATGTAAACAAACGGCTATTGTCAAAATCGTTAAACTTTTTTCCTAAATGCGATTCTAACGNTGGGCTACGTGTGATGTACAAAAACTAATAGAACACGTTAGTAATAACAAAGAACGTAGATAACAAAAAGGGACAACTCGTTATAATTGTAGCGAAAGTGCGCAACAGGGCCATGTCTTCTCTTTTGCCCTAGTGCGTTTTCTGATTGGATGAAAAGAGAAGGCACGCCCCTGTTGCGCACTTTCGCCACAATTATNTTTTTTAACCGACCTGGCTGAACTCGCATAAATAGTCGAGTTTCTGTTGTTGCTTTGCGTGTATTTCATCAT